TAGGTAAAAGTGTTTTTCAAATAACCCTTTATGATCTTTTGGCACCGTTGAAAAATAGGCTGTCGGCATTTGCGCAATACATGTTCTTAAGTTAAATGTAGTTAATAATGAGGCAACATCTTTTATGCGTAGTTGAAGACGCCACAGAGTTCTTCAAATAGAAGAATATTTGAAGAACATGTATATAGTCTCAGTCGTTATGCCCAGCAATTTACAATAATGAAGCAGTTTTCAATCGTACTGCTGTGACAATGTACTGGGTGATGAATGTCAGTTATTATATAGCTTCGATTGAGAAGTTTTGCCTTACTCTTCTGTATGTTAGCTTTGAAAGCGAGTCTGACATTCATTTGCTTCTTCTACTATATAATGGTTACTGAAGCTCTACATATTTTGGTCAACTAAGTGTACTCAAACCTATTAACAAACCACGTAATGGTAATTTCTAAATTTACCCATGATTGTTGAAAATGAATATTTGGACAAGCGAACATCTTGCATGTTGAAAAACAAGGCTCGACATCTAATTTTAACTAATGATTGTGTTCCACATCCGGAAAGCAGCACATTGCTTGACAGAATTAAACACTGGTTTTCTTTCAGTTGTTCATTTCATGTTCAAGCAATAGAGTGCATTCGTCCACATTGCGTGAGACGAGAAAATTGGTAGCTAAATCCTCTTGAGCAATTCGTTTTAGCAATTTTAGAAAATTAGCAGAAAACATGAAAGTCTCGAAATGAATGGTTAATTGTAATTTTCTGGTCAGTTTCGTTGCAAAGTTATTTAAATTGTAATCATGTGTTTAATAATGCAAAAGCATAAGCAGTTTCAGTTCTTCAACCCGAATACCGTAAAGACTAACATGACACACGATGTATCCGTTATCTGACCTGTCGTTGTTATGGAGACCAAAGCTGACATTCCTGCAATATTCATTATTGTCCGCTTTTTGCCTCTGCCGTTGGCTAGCAAACGAGAGTAAATGCAACAATAACATACCTATGAAACACTGAATATCGCGTGGAATTTTGACTGCACATGTATGTATTTGTGGATAGATTAATGTATGCATTATATGTATTTTATTTTTATGCAAAAGATGCTGTCATTCTGAAAGTAACGAACGGATAACAAGGCAAAAATTACCACTTACATAAATTTATTCAACAAACTGAGTTTTCGGTATGTCTTCAGAATTGTAATATGTAACGCACGGTTTATTTTCAGGCAGTTTGAGATGGCCATTATCAATAAGGCTGCCATACTTATCAATGGCGTCACTAAAGTACGAAATTTAATGAATTCTTCAAATGTTTGTGGCATTCCAAAAAGCTCTGAACGCATAAGCATATGCTTTTCTAGTATACTACAGAGCACTAGCTTATTTTGGTTTCGTCTTTCCTTAAATGTTGAAGGCAAACTGATGTTCTTGAGCGAGCTGCTACCCTGTCTAACCAATCAGTAGGTAGATTGCTGCGACAATTGATCACTTATATGCGCCATCATCATTAATCTGAGTATTTTGCCTTTGACCCTGATATGTCAGATGACAATAAACGCAACAACATATTCTATAATTCAGAATGGTCAGATCCTGTTGTTAAGATAAGCAATAGGGAATTAAACAAGCTAGAGAATTTATTGTCGTGGCTTTCGATGGATCCTATAGGTACTGAATGTTTCATTTAAGGAAAGCTGTTTTCCTACCCAAACTGTGGTTAACACCATGCGAAAGCTGTAAATTAAAATCGAGAAAACAATCGAAGTTTCATGGGATTCACGACACATGCATCGCATTGTGTACTGACGAACAGTATTCAAATGAATTGCTTGATATTCGCAGCGGACATAAGTCCTGCTAGTGAATCGCCTGACTTCATTCACCTTCTGCTGAACGTCTCCAAGCGTCCTTCTGATTTATACATGCTGTTACATGTATTCTTGAACGTCAGGGGCATCTCACTCTTTTCATTGACGATTTCATGAATTCAAATTAAAATTACATACTAACGGCGTGTTTAAAAGTTTATGATTTGCATGAATTAATGAATATAATGCTGGTTGCTGCATCTGTGCATGCTAATTGACTTTTTATTAACTGGCCTGAAAGCTACATAGCTTCGATGGAACAATCGACGACGCATCATTCTGGACGGGCGCTGAATCGTGACGCCATCCAATTGCTCAGCAAAGGTAAGCTATTTTCTTCGCAATGCATCTCAGAGACACGAGATGGTGTTTCAACGACCAGGGATTCCGATGACATGACTCTACCTGACCTTCTGTGATCTATTTCACGGTTGCAGTTAACCTCTTAGAGGTAGCTTGGCCTGAACTCGAGGTGTAGAGCTTGTAAACAAGCATAAAATGATTTGTCTATAAATTGTTCACATATCTTAATATTCCTTATTTAAACTTCGCTTTCCCTTGATCTTTTTCCTGCGTAAGGTTACAGCATAAATAAACTTATAACACAACGAGAGGTTAAGACGCATGAACTAAACCGAAATGGTCAGAGTTGATTTTTAAGGCACATTGGTAATCGCGAAATACTGCTAACAAGCAACAAAGGAAACGGAACGGCGTAAAAGAACGAGTCCGCGTTGTAAAGGCATTGTGAGATACGCATGCTATCAGATTCGTACGACAAGCCTTGCTTGCATGTGCATAAGGGTCGACAAACCTGCTGTTTCGACTCCGTTTCTCCCTCTTGCCCTCACACAACCTCAATCTAATTAAAGTGTAGTCGATTGTAGTGCGGGGGACTAAAATAAGAATGGTCTTGGTGGTACGCAGGAACATCTTTGTGCTACCACTTCCAGAGATGATGTGCAGTGCTGACGCTCGTCGACGATTGTGTGAATGGCGTGTTCACTGTTTCCGTCTCAAATGGAAACCCAATGGTATTTGGGGCTGACAGTGGATAAGGGTTTTTGTCTGGTACGGCGAAATTTTCTGTCACTCATCAATAACTTCGAATGATTAGCACAGACCTAATCTCCGGCTCGCGCTTCTCATGCGAGAATTGAGACACGGCTGAGCTGACATGTCGCCAATGAGGCCATCATTTGATATGATTCTCGAAATGGCGACAAGTCTGTGTTCAGAGAGTATTTACTTTTTCTACGATATGCTACCTGTGCCAGAGAGCAAGATTTTGAGGTGTTGAAAATGCAGCAGACCTAACCTTTCAGCCCAAAG